GCTGCACCCCATGCCGGAGAGATTATAGCTTTTGATAGATAGATCGTCGAAGTCTCTGGAGTGGCTCTTCGAGAAAGCTGTGACTCCAAGCGATGTAGGCAAGCTGAACCGGCTCGGGATCCCCAAGCAGCAAGCGGAGAAGCACTTCCCCCCTCCGAAACGGCGCTGTCACCTCCAAGAGCGTTCTCTAAGCTGAACCGGCTTGTGATCCTCAAGCAGCAAGCGGAGAAGCACTTCATCCTCCGAAACAACGATGTCACCTCCAAGAGCGTTCTCTTGAGCTTTGCACGTGAAACTACATATATATCCTCAAAGATCGCGGTCAACGAACAGTCAAATAGATGGAGGACCAAATCATGTCAAAATTGCAAAGTTAAGGACTTAATTGGTTGAAATTAAAAGTCGATGACCAATTTGTGAATTTAGCTATAGTCGAGGGACCATTTTGAGTATTTACTCAAAAAAAAAAAAAAAAAAAAAAAAAAAAAAAAAGACCCTGGCAGTACTCTGCCACGCCAATTTGCAAGTATGTTTGTAGCTAACTTGTAGCTAATCCTTGTCGTATACATGAAACCTTCAAAAACTACATTGTTCCCAGCCATCCATATTTCATGCAAAACTGACACAACTAACTCCCAAAATCTTGTTGAAAACTCTTCAACACCTTCTCCAACCATTGGATAAAATTTAAATCATCATCTGCAATCTCAATTATCCCACTTCACGCCAAACTTGATTGGCCAATTCACATTTAAATAGCACATACATGATAGTTTCTTCAAATATATTGCATATTTGGCATGCGTTTTAATTTCTATCTTCACTCTCTTCTTGGTAAAAGAAAAAGTAGTGGGCAAGATGTAATTGATAGCTCTCCGAATAAAATTGCGCACCTTCGGAGGCACTCCTAATGTCCCTATCTTACCCAACTAGAGAAGGCCCTAGGTTATATTCACCAATGAGATGTTTATAGTGGTCTCGGATTGAATATAAACCCCTTAAATTACCCTGCCAATACCAGTTATCTTCGAATGAAGCACTAATAGGTGTTCTCAAATTAGCCTCCTCATCCCTACCCTAAAATAAGTCGTTGAGGGTATCCATGTTCAATACTCGGACGTCTTGATCTATTAATTAAACTACGTTACTCACCCTTATGTCTCAAAACTCAACTGGGGGTTTCGTCTAAATGCTCGTACATGAGTTATCTAGAAGCCACAGGTGCCACCAATAGAAGTCTCTTTACCATTTCTTATCCTGCGTCTCACACCACTGGTCATAAGATCCTGGGTCGCATGGATACTCTTCCAAACATAACTTGGGTTATGTCCCACAATGTTGGGCGAAGGCCCATAAATGCCAAGTCTACCACCCGGTGGTGGCTGGGGATTGTTGGGCAGAGGTTGGTAAAAGGTAAAAAGGTCAAGTCTAGCACCTTTTCGAAAATGGGATGCGTTCTATAAGAAAATAAAGTTACGTCTTCGCTACTAGCTATAGCTTTTGGCGTAAGTAGTAAGCGCTTGATCCTAACAAGTGGTATCAGAGTCAGGTCATGGGTAAGATTGGTTGAATTAGTGCTAGGAGGGGGGAATTGTTGGGCGGAGGCTGGTAAATTCGGTGTATCTTATATCAATCTTATCTTGTAGGAATCTGTTTACATATTTGTGTTGTCCTTGCTGTGTAGCTATTTTGTACATGTATTGTGTAAGGATGAAGTTGCTCTTCTAAAGTGATGGAGTCTTCTTGTTGAGAACAAATGGAATAGTGGGATGGAAGAGTCCTCTCATGTATGGAAGAGTAATATCTGGCCCCTTTTTGCTCTTTGTTTTCCTGATTTTATAATATGAGAATGAAAATTGTGAACGTTGGGTAATGAATTGGATAATTAATGAGGATTTACTATAGGTATCAATCGTTATACCCTGCATCACGGCACACATAGCATTGTGCGCTCCGCGTCTCCCAAAACGACGTCGTTTTAGTAAGTTATGTAAGGAGTTGGCGTGATTATGTGTATTTGATTATACAATTATGTGTATTTAATTATACAATTATGTGTATTTGTTTATACAATTATGTACGTTTTTTATACAATTATGTACATCCGAATCAGGAAATTTATGTGTATAATGTTAAGAGTTTATGTGTATTATGTTACAAGTTTATGTGTATTATGTTAAAAGTTTATGTGTATTATGTATTATGTTAGATTATGTGTATTATCTTTAAAAAAAAAAAAGTATGTGTATTTTGTTATACAATTATGTACATTCATGTATACAATTATGTGTATTCTAATATAAAATTATGTACATTTTTGAACATGAAATTTTTTTTTAAAAGAAAATTAACCGCCAACACAGGACAGCGAAATTTCAAAAAAAAAAAAAAAAAAAAAAAATCTGAAACGACGACGTTTTGCACGATATAAATTGCCCTCATGCACGATATAAATTGCCCTATAGGTATTAATATGGAGTAAGTGGGTAATTAATTGAAATGGGTGGGGGTGTTTTCTGAGGAAACGGAAGAGAGGTAAGAGGTCTAATATGAGGCTTATTATGGGTAATTAATAGGGGGGTATTCATTAGGATTAAAATAGGGAAATAATGGCTGATTTATTTGGTTTGGTGGGTATTTGTTTTGAGGGTTACGGGTGGTTTAGACGGTCCGATTGAAGCTAGGCGGTCCAATCGGGACTAGGCAATTCAATTTGGTTCTCATATTGGGTATCCATCACCAATCATTAAATTAGAACACATTTTTCAGTTAATATGAAATTAAGAAAAAACAAACAAACAATCAAACGAAAAACGATTAGCCAGCAGATTTAGATCATTATGCTGTTCATTTTCTTCTTGTTGTTTTGTAAAAGTTGATAATGTGTGTCGTCTAGTGTTGCCTCACCCGGGGTTAACCGTTCTGAATTGTTAAAACAAAATGTTATAAATTCATAAATAAACATATACTTTTAAGAATATAATTTAAGTTGTTAAACCAAAAAAAAAAAAAAAAAAAACATATTTTTATATGTGATTTTACAATTAAAATTTTAGCTATCACAAAATATTTCTGATTCAATTAACCAACTTATCAACTATGATTTTAAGTAACTGTTAGTTAACAAGCCCAGCCGTTGCTATACATTTTAAAATTGCCTTTTAAGTTTTACTTCTTAAAATACCAACCATTATTTTATTTGACTCTAAATTATGACCATGTTTGGTAAAATAGTTAGCTTATTAATCAAATTTAGTTTATTTAATCACTATTAATTGTTTGACTTAGTTAAAAAATCAATATAAGTGTTTGGTTAATTAGTTTTTTGTAACTTCAAAAATGCTAAAATTCAAAAAACTGCTGAAAGAAATTTTTTCAATTAGCTTTTAATTTTGAGAAAAAAATTATACCAAACAGCTAACAACTAATTTACTAAACATTTTTCTACAATCAGCTAATGTCATCAACTAGGTATACATATTCTCTAATTAACACAATCAGCTAATAACAATTTACCAAACAGGGCCTAGCTATATGTATTTAAGTAATTCGTAATTTCTTTCTTATTTTTTAAACTAGTATTTTCTATGCGCGATGCACAAAAATAAGTGTCAAATATTAGTACTTTATATTAAAATTTTAAATTTATTTAGATTTTAGATATTTATATTGTTTTTAAATAATAATAATAATAATAATAATAATAATAATAATAATAATAATAATAATAATGTAAAATATTTTTATAAATTTTATATTTATATTTTAAGAAATAACTAATATATGTATATATATAATTCCAATATATAATGTGTATATATTATTATTATTGAAGAAGATAAATAAATAAATTATATATATATATATATATATATATATATATATATATATATATATATATATATATATATATATATATATATATATATATATATATATATATATATATATATTGTGGATGCATGTGCATTGTAACAATAGTGAAAAAGATAACGGGAGTTATAACGGTAGAGGTATATTTGTCCAAAATAATGCATCATACAACTCTTATAGAATAGTGTATAAAAAATGTAATGGAAAAACAGATATAAATGAAGGGTATAACATTCATTCACACTTATTAGTTTTTAGATTATGAAGAATAATTGGGAGCAACCTAACCAAGCTAGTTGGTGATGATGTTGTTAATCACAAGGTTTCAAGTTCGAAGTTCGACTTCTAGTGGGAGCAACCTATTGGCCTTCTTGATTTGATTCGATATGCTATAAGTAATCTAGACTGATTTATCTCTTTGTGATCCTTTGTCAGCTAGGGTCACAAGATGATGCTTAATTACCTTCATGATTTGAGCTCGTCAGCTATGAGTAACCTAGGTTGATTTACCTCTTTGTAGTCTTTTGTCCACTAGGATTACAAGACATGATTTCCTTAGTGCACACATTTGAATAGTGATTGCAGATTTTCCTTTTTACCCCAAAAAAAAATAAAAAATGAAGAATAACCGGTGAATATAAATAGATTTGTGTCTCATAAATAATCTCGCATTACTTTAGAGAGAATAACATTATATTTGGGAGAAGAATAACATTATATTCTTTCTTTTAACAAGTGTAGTTGAATTGAAACTACTTGCACGAGATCTAACTTTTTGGAAGTTACTGAAGTTAGGACATTTATATATGAAAAGTCCAGAGATCTATCGCAGGTCATCAAGTATTCAGGCGATATGATATATACATGTGGATCTGCGTGGAAATGATAATCATGGTACCCGACTTAAAAGCCAAGTCAACCTAGAATTTGCTTATAAAAAAGTTAATCTGTCATACAATAATAAAAAACTTACTTCTTCAAGACACTTTCACATCTGTCTCATCATTATAAAAAATAGTACATGTTTGGGCAACCATCCAATTGGCTTCCTAGTTCATTTCTTCATTAATATATATATCAATCCACCCTTCAACACCACATATAACATTTACCAACCAATTCAAACATCCATGGCTAAAATGAACATTATTATTCTCATTACAATCTATCTTATGTCCTTGATTTTCACGGCGGGTTCAACTCCGCCGGAAGATCCCATCAAATGCACCATTAACAACACCATGAACTGCACAATCACCAACTCCTACGGCGCCTTCCCGGACCGCCGCGTCTGCCGCGCCGCCGAGGCCGCGTACCCGAAAACCGAGGCGGAACTCGTGTCCATAATCGCCGCCGCGACCAAGCAGACGCGGAGAATGAAAGCCGCGACTCGGTTCGCGCACAGCATCCCCAAGCTGTCGTGCCCGGAGGGGGACGGCGGCCTGCTCATAAGCACCAAGTATCTTAACCGGACGTTGGCGGTGGACGCTGCCGGCATGACGATGACGGTGGAGAGCGGAGTGAGTCTCCGGCAGGTGATTGAGGAGGCGGCGAAAGCGGGGCTGGCGCTGCCTTACGCGCCGTACTGGTGGGGGTTGACGGTAGGTGGGCTTATGGGTACGGGCGCGCATGGGAGCAGTTTGTGGGGAGTTGGGAGCTCCGTGCATGATCATGTGATTCGCATCCGGATTGTCACGCCGGCCACCGAGAAAGAGGGATACGCCACCATTCGAACACTTGAACAGGGTGACTCCGACATTAAAGCAGCCAGGGTTTCTCTTGGAGTCCTTGGAGTTATTTCGCAGGTAGTATATATATACTCCATCCCTCCTATTTTGTATTTTGTGTTTAAAAAAAAAAAACTTTGGATTAAAATTATTTTAATTCAACTTTTTCATAATTTTAAGTTTTGTATTAGTATATCGTTGTTGCAAAAATCAATCTAGGCGTTAGGCACCCCTAAGTCCAGACGAATTACCCCCTAGACAATCGTATAGGCAGTCGATCGCCCGACATGACCAAGTTTGCGGCAAACTTTGACGAATTCGGTCGAGTTAGCCGAGTCGGCCTTGCTAATTTTTTAAATTATATATATATATATATATATATATATATATATATATATATATATATATATATATATATATATATATATATATATATATATATATATATATATATATACTCGCTTTGTCTCATTTTATGTGTTTGGTTCGATTAACGAGGCTTGACTAAAATTATTTTTAATTCAATTTTTCATAATATTAAATTTAGTATCAGTATACAAAATTTATATATTTAGAAACTACACTAGACGTATTACTCGTATTAAACAAAAAAAATCAAATTTAAAAATTAGTAAAAAAATACTAAAGAAAATAAACAAAAAAAGAAAGAGTTGATTTGACCCATGAATAGTAACTAGGACTGATAAAATGAGACAGTGGGTATATGATTAGTATCATATGAGAACTAACCTTCCCATGAGTCGGCCATTAGAACTAATCTCATCCATTAAAAAATATAGATCTATGAATAAGATTAATTTGAGGGATTAAAAGAGTGTGTGTACATATTAGATATTATGGTGTGTGCATATAAAACTTGTTTTGTTTTTTTTTTTAATAGTTAGCCGCCTAGGCGGTAGACACTACTCTACCGCTCAACAAGTGTCTAGCGCCTACTGAAATCATGATTAGTACTTTAGTAGTATATATATATATATATATATATATATATATATATATATATATATATATATATATATTTAGAAACTATATTAAAAGCATTATTAAATATAAGCATATTAAAAATACTAAAAAAATTAAGAAAAAAAAAGAGTTAATTTGATCAATAAATAGTAAACATGAGAAGTCAAATGAGACATGGTATAATATATACACACACTGACACACACAATGAATAGGGATGGCAATTTCAATTCGCCCCGCGGATATCCACCCGAATCCACCCCGCATGGATCGGGTTTTTTTGGGTGATGGTGGGTGGTGGGTCGGCGGTGGGTCTTAAAAAAGTAAACCCGCGGTGGGTCGGGTTGGATTCGGGTTCTATGTACAAAACCCTCCTAGAACCCCACCCGACCCACCATGTGTTTGTGTATATATATAATAGTAAAATAAGTACTAGTATGTAGTTATTTATAAAAGTTTATATAACTTCGTGTATCTTTTTACTATTTTTTATATCTAAACTACTAAGTTTAGTTTTAAAAATTAACAATTTAGTTATTATATTTAAATATTTTTATTATTTTATATTTTAATATCACTAATGAATTTTATTATTTTATTATGTGTAAGTAATTTAAATATTATTTTTTAAAAAAATAATAAGATGATAAATGGTGGGTACCCGCAGTGGGCACCCGCACCCGGTGGAGGTGGGGGTGGATTTTGAAAAAGTCCACCCGATGCGAGTTGGAGGAAGGGGTGGGTGGAGAAAATATAAGATGGGTCGGGTGATGGATGAAGCCCTCTCCGACCCACCCGACCCATTGCCATCTCTAACAATGAATAATACGGATACTGGATCCATAACGTTTTGGAGGTTAGCTAGGTTCCAATATAATATACTCATCAATAAATTTTAATACAAGTAATATGTAGTAAAGAATAATTAAAATTATTATTTAAATTAGGAAAAAGTGTTAAATAAATTCCTTTAAGGCGTTCAAATAGAGTATTTGAACTCATTTGAAAAATGTTTAATTTATACCCTTCAAATTGGTAAAAACATGTAATTAAATTCTAAAGTGACATATTTAGCAAATTAATTACTATTGGTGTGTTTGACGTACCGCAACAATTCTTTAAATAAGGGCTGCGGAAGTTTTTTTTTTTTTTTTTAATTATTACTTTCTGCGTTTTTGTTTTTAAAACTGTGACTCTTTAGTTTTAAAGGGTCGTAATTTCTTATTAATTAATTTATAATTGTATTACCGCACATTTTTTTAACCAAACATTACATTTTTTTAAAGAAAGGTTGCGAAATGTCTAATTTATATGTTTTTAGCTTTTTTGTACTAGTATATGTATTTAAGTTGGATAATGAAGAACAATTTGATTTGGATTCTAGCATAAAAGAGTTCGAATCAAACACTCTATATATCTTTTACAATTATGATGATAATAATTTAGAAGAATATATTTATAAGTTATATTAATGTTTGAAATTTTAAGATTAAAATTATTTTAAAAAAATTATAAACAACAAATAAATTAATTTTTTTGTTTTACTTTAAATAATAAATATAGCTGTAAAATTTTGAGATATAATATAATATTGGATGAAAAAGGTGAGAAATACCAACCAAGAAAAAAATATTTCCAAAGAGGACATTTGGGAAGTTTGGTGAGCAATATGTTTTCCATTTAAGCATAAATTTTCAAAACTTTTACACTTTCTATTAAATTTGAATTTTAGTACGCACGTGCTATTCAAGTACAATAAGTCAATAACTTATCTCCCCACTTCAAAGTTCAGAGATAGGGTGTAAACAAATGTTTTTTTTTTTTTTTTTTTTTTTTTTTTTTTTTTTTTTTTTTTGGGTACCTTGAAGCTAACAAAAAAAAAAAAAAAATCAGTCTTTATCGATTGTAATAATTACACCCAAATACTTTTACATTTAAATTTTTAAAATAGTTTTTCAATCTTTTATTTGAACAATGAATAATTTTTAATTTATAAAAGTTTTCATTTCATATAATTAAGAGAAAATTGTAATTTATGCCCTCGCAAATATGTCAATTATCAATGTCACCCCTGAATTATTAATTATGTAAATGTTGTCTCTTAATTTTCAAAACGTGACATATATTGTCTCTCCCCTAATAGGAAGAAGGAAAAACATTGTTGTCGGTGGGAGGAGAACAAACGAAGAAAGAAAAATTGATTTGAAGAAAAAAAAAAGTGATATAAACAGAGAAAACGACAGGTAACCACATTTACACCACTAATAATTCAGTGGAAGAGTAATATATGTCACATTTTAAAAATTGAGGGACAACATTTACACACTAATATTTCAGGAGTGACATTGAGTTCTACTGACTCTATTACAATGTAGCATCTGTTTGTGCATACTTTCTCAACCTACCTCTCATTTGAGAGAGTCACATAGGTGCCATTGAGCTACAAGCTACTTGACGTACACCTTATGTATATCTTTGATACAAGAGGAAATTTCAATTTTTGTCCTATGACTACAGGGGTCTTGTTAATTTTAGTCCCCGACTTTCAAAAGTGTCAATTTAGTACCTTGACTATGCAATTTTTTTTCAATTTTGGTCACTCCGGCCAAATTGCCGGACAAATTTCGCCAGAAAATATTAATGGTTAAAAAGTTGAGGGTATTTTAGTCTTTGCATGTCCTTTTTTCTTCCCTTTTTTTCGCCAAATCTGTAGAAATTCGTCGGAGAAGATGGTTATAGCCGGTGGCATTGAGGTGTTTGAAGGCGACGGAAACTTTCGCCCTTGTTATGCGGCTATACCTAATACCCAATTACGCTATTCAATGTCTCCGGAACGCATCGAGTAACAAGGCTCTGCTTCACTGCAAATCTGCAATGGCGGTCTCTCAATAGAAAAAGAACAAGACTCTGCTTCACTGAAAAAAAAAAAAAAAAAAAAGACATGCAAAAAGACTAAAATACCCTCAATTTTTTAACTATTAATAATTTCTGGCAAAATTTGGCCAGCAATTTGATCGGAGTGATCAAAATTGAAAAAAATTGCATAGTCAAGGTACTAAATTGACACTTTAATTTGAAAGTCGGGGACTGAAATTAACAAGACCCCTATAATCATAGGATCAAAATTGAAATTTTCTCTTTGATAAAACATACGGAGTAGTATATAACTTTATAAAACAAACGACATTATAAACCAACATCATTGTAAAATTTCTCTAAAGTTAAGTATATAAGTATTTGTTTATATACTAATGTTAGGAATGAATGGCGTACGTATGTTTTGAAGGTTACTTTCAAACTAGAGCCACTGTTCAAAAGGTCCATATCTTTTGTGGAGAAGAATGATTCAGACTTGGGGGATGAAGCACTTAGATTTGGATTCCAACATGAATTTGCAGATATCAAATGGTTTCCCAGCCAACGCAAAGTTCTGTATCGCGTTGATGATCGCGTCTCTACCAACGCCTCAGGCGACGGCCTTTTTGATTTCATTGGGTTTCGAGCCAGGACATCGCTTTTACTCGCAGTTATAAGGAGTACAGGTTAGCTATCTAGCTTTAATGTATTCTAAATTTAATGAATTACAGTTTTGTTTCGAGTTAGGTATGGTAAGATCACAGACCATACACCTTCACACTCTTACTTGTATTCCCTTAACTTAATCAGAGGAAGCTCAGGAATTAATTGGTGATGCCAATGGGAAATGTGCAAGTGAAGTTGTGACAACTACCGCCACGAAGGTAGCAGCATATGGACTCACAAACAACGGTATGTAGGATAATGAGTTAATACCAGATCCTCCGAGTGTGGTGGTTTCGTCATGTTTAGTCTTAAATTTTTAAATTGATCACCTTTGGTCTTCCGAGTTTCAAATTTTGACCAGTCATAGTCCTTCCGTTAACATATGTTGTCGGTGAAAAATAAGGATAAAGGAGTCGTTTTATGTTCAATCCAACCAAAATAATTAATTTCCCTCAAGAATTATCCCTAATCTCCAAAATCATCTGCCGTCTGCGTCGTGAAAAGTAAGGACAAAAGAGTCTTTTTATGTCCAACACAGCCAAAACAATTGATTTCCCACGTTTAGGGCTAATTCTTGTGGGAACTCAATTGTTTTCGTTGTGCTGAACATAAAAGACTCTTTTGCCCGTACTTTTCACGACGCAGATGATAGATGCTAATAGAAGGACTACGGCAGGTCAAAATTCAAAACTAGAAGGACCACGGGGGTTGGCTTGAAAGTTTAGAACTAAACGTGGCGAAACCACCAAACTCGGAGGATCTTAGATAACATTAACTCGGTAATTCTTTAACAGTGTTTGGTTCATGGAATAGGTCGGGAATAAACCTATTCCATTGTTTGTCTTGTCCTTTCATTCCTGGGAATAGCATCCCCGAGAATGAGAGCTATAAGTTTCTTAAATTGTGTATGTTACAAGAGTATGATAATGGATTTATCTCTATAATTAGGTATTATCTTTACTGGGTACCCGGTTATCGGATACCAAAACCGCATGCAATCCTCTGGTAGTTGCTTGAACAGTCTCGAGGATGGACTAATAACAGCCTGCCCATGGGACCCAAGAGTGAAAGGATTATTTTTCCACCAAACAACATTCAGCATCAGCCTAACCAAGGTGAAGAGTTTCATAGAAGACGTGCAAAAGCTTGTAAATTTGGAGCCCAAATCCCTCTGCGTTCTAGGCCTCTACGATGGCATCCTCATGAGATACGTCAAAGCCTCCACAGCCTACCTGGGCAAACAAGAAGACTCCATAGACTTTGACATCACATACTACCGAAGCAAAGACCCTTTGGCTCCCAGGCTCTACGAAGACATTCTTGAAGAGATAGAGCAGATGGCAGTGTTCAAATATGGGGCGTTGCCGCACTGGGGAAAGAACAGAAATGTGGCCTTTCAAGGGGTGATTGGCAAGTATAAAAGTGCTGGGGAGTTCTTGAAGGTTAAGCAAAAGTTTGATCCTTTGGGGCTGTTTTCTAGTGAATGGAGTGACCAAATTCTGGGGCTCAAAACGGGGATTAGCATTGTGAAGGATGGGTGTGGGTTGGAAGGGTTGTGCATTTGCTCACAAGATGCTCATTGTGCTCCAAACAAAGGGTATTTTTGTAGAGCAGGAAAAGTCTACAAAGATGCAAAGGTCTGTGTGAAGATTAATTAGCAACAACGTAATAACGTAACTAGCGATAGCTAACTACATATATGTTAGTTATACATCCATTATCACTTGATAACATCATAATTTATTATGTGTATCTATATAGTAACAGAAGTGGTGATTAAGCTTTCCGGTCATTTCTATATAAATACGATGTATTATATGTTA